TCGCTGCTTCCACCTACTGCGCCACAGTCATCGCCTCCTCAACCTATGGGTCACTTAGTATAAACTATGTACACAATAGCAGAGGCTTGTGAAGCAGCTATTACCCTACATTGAAAAATTATATCCTTGAATATTCTGTTTTTGCAAGTATGCATCTAGTTGCTGTTTGAACATCTGTTTGGACTCTGAAAAACCACTTCTTCAGGCAGAGAATTCCACATCCTTATTGTTCTTACAGTAAAAAAAAAACCTTTTATTTGCCATAGACAAAATCTTCTTTCTTCCAGTCTAAACGCATGACCTTGTGTCCTATGTAAAGTCTGGTTTGTGAATAGATTTCCACACAATGGTTTGTATTGGACCCGAATATTTGTATAATGTTATCATATCCCCTGTCAGGCGACATTTTTCTAAATTAAAGAGGTTTAAATTTGTTAACCTTTCTTCATAGCCGATATGTTCCATTCGTTTTATTAAATTTGTAGCCCGCCTCTGCACTTTTTTCTAGTGCCATAGAAAAAGTGCTATGGCACTAGAAAAAGTTTAGTCCAACTAATCCTTGTTTTACTTTCCTTTTCCCATTTATGTATCTAAAATAGTTTTGTCTGTTTTGGAAGCTCTTATAACTTGTTTAGCCTCTTTCTGCCTAATCGTATAGATTTATCTATCTTCCTCACTCTGTTTTTTTTTTATAATTACTAAATGCTAACTTTTAGTTTTTTACTATTTTTGGCCACCTCTGTGGAGTACCACAGTGGTTTCTTAATTTTTTTGCCTTTACTGACAAGCCTAATGCAATTTTCTGTTGCCTTCAGCAGTGCAACTTTTAAATAATCCCATTTCTCTTGGACTCCATTTAAACTGCCCCAGTCTGATAATGTAGCCCATGGAACAGCGTAGCTAGGGGAGTGGGCCTTGACAGAGTTAGGAGGTAGGCATAGCAGCTATAAGGGATTTGAGTGACAGCTAGCATGCTGGGTGGGGCAGAGCCATGAAGGGAGTATTTATACCGGCCATCTTATGAAGTGGCCATCTTAACTAAACCTAAACTTACCTGTCAGTTGTCTCTCAGGTTTGGGTAGGCTCTTTTTCTTTTTCAGATGGATCCAGTTGAGGAATTTCTTGCAGGAGTTCGAGTAGCAGTGAGAGAGTGCAGCATTGAGTGGTTGCGTAAGCGGATGGAAACTCCTGGAACTTCAGACGGGACCGCGGTGGGTCTGGAACAATGGCCTGCACGGAGGGCAAGGCCTCCACAACATTTAGGCCCTGGGTCGGCACCGGTAAGGAGGATGAAGATGAGCCCATCTCCAGGAGCGGCTCCAACGGCAGACGGATCTGGAGCAGGCCGCAGGAGCATGGCGACGGTTGGCGGGAATGAAGCGACACCGGAGGAGTTTAATAAGGAGGCCCCTGACAGGCAGTCCACGTCAGGTGATGACATAGGGAGAGGTCAGGAACGGGAGGCAGCACGTCTGCGCCTCCCAGGTTGGGTTGCGCCCCCGCCGGAAGGCGGCTGGCAGGAAAGGTCAGCTGGCGAAAATGGAGGGTTCCGGTGTGACAGGGAATGCCGCCAGGCCTGCATCCAACGCGGGAGACGCCCCTGCCTTACGCGGTGTGTCGGCCTCCAGGGGCCTGGTATCAGGCAGTGGTGTGGGGCAGGACGAGGGTGCCCAAGGGTTCAGAAAAGAACGGGTCGCCCAGCTGGGGCCAGGACAGCTTCGAGAGGGGCTGCCATCGAACTAGGAGATAAAATAGTGGGCAGGCAGTCAGGCAGGAATTAGCAGCAGTGTTTCCATAGCCAAGGGGGGCAGGCAGGCTGGACAGTCGCTATAGGATCTCTGAGAGTGAGGATGCGACCCAGTCGGGCCTGTTCTGTGCAGCACAGGCCGCGCCAAGTATGGTGGAAGTTGGGTGGACGGCTACAAGGAGCTAGACGGGCAGCTAGACGAGCAAAAGAAAAGGAGTCATGCGGCCAGGGAGTACAGGGTGCACAGCTCTAGCTTATGGAACAGTGCTTCCCCAAGTGTCTCTGGCCAGGCTACTGTTCGAAGGAGTTCAGGGGACAGGACCAGGCACAGCATAGATAGACGGTCTGGAACGGATCGGCACAGCAGAGACAGATATTATGAAGGAAGGAGTTACAGCAGGGAGCGATCTACCTCATCTTAGGATAGGGCTAGGAGCAGGAGCAGGGCCTACATTTTGCCTAACTGGAGGTATCGGGAGGATAGGCTTAGCCCTTATGGCCAGTCGGGTCAGGCAGCAGGACATGATGCAGATTTAAGCCATGGTCGGGAACGCAGAAAGGATGTACGGGTAGGGCATACCACGAGCAGACTACCCAGGTTGTTGTCTCCCCGCAGGTCTGCAATTCCTTCTACAGCCCTGAGACAGGACCAGGCGGCTGGATGCAGAAGTTATGATGCTACTCCTGAGCCTTTCGAGGTGGACGGAAGGACGGAGGCCCCGCGGTCTTTCATGACAGGGGGTCCGGGTAGTGAGTCTTCTTCTGCACTACACTCGGAAAATCTCTTAGAGAGTTTGAGGTCTTTTATTAACACTTGGGATACTACAGACATGAGGGAATCTCATTTTAGTCAAGTGTGGGGCCGGTATCTGGCAAGAGTGGGGTGGTGACAACGGCTTCGGGGACAGGGGTGTGCAGCGTTCGCGGAGGGCCAACATTGCCTTCAATGGGGCAGAAACATCAGTGGCAGTTAGTGAACGGGCAGAGTTAACGGGCGAGATCCCCGATGTAGCCAGGCAGAATGTACATGTGTCATTTGCCAGGCCGTTGGGATGTCACCTCAAAGCTGAGGTGAAAGAGAAGATTTGTAAAGGGGAATTCGTGGAAATCTTTTCGCTCCTCCCATTGGATGAGTATATCGATCTAAAGGAGGAGGATAAGAAGGATGCGAAGAAAGAGGAGGAGGAAAAGAGGCGGAGGTACCAGAAAATACGGAAATCTTTTGGGAATTGGCTTAGGGCTTTTTGCATTCTGGCTAGTGTGTTGGGTGAAAAGTTTCCCGACTGGTGTTCGCAATTTTTCTGCTATTTAGATGGGATTTGGGAAGCTTATCGGACTTATGGGGGCCTAGCATGGTGGAAATAGCAGTTCCACCAACGACTGTCAGCTAACCCCGGGATGCAGTGGGATCAAATGGATCTGCCGCTCTGGATGAAGTTAATGATGGCTCAAAGATCTGCACCCTTTCAGGGTGGGACTGGCATGGGGGCAGTCTCCTCATTGTCGGCCGGTCAGAAAAAGAGTTTCTGCTGGGCATTTAATGAAAGCTGTTGCAAGTGGGGTGCCTCGTGCAAATTTCGGCATGAGTGTTCAGGCTGTGGGGGATGAGGGGGCCATGGCCTCAAAAGATGTTTCAAGCGGGGCAAATCTGCACCCTATGGTGGAGCTGGGGGCTCCGGGGCGGCAGGACCTCCCGCTTGGGGTCACGCCAGTGACGGTCGACGTGATGGTGCTGTGGCTAAACCAGTAGGGTAATCGGCAGGATGCATTAATATTGTTTGAGGTTTTTTCTCAAGGGTTTTAGATTCTTTTTAAGGCAAGGCTGTTAGGGGGCCTGTGTGACAATTTGAGGTCGGTAGCTGAGTATTCTGAAGTGGTTCGGGATAAATTGGCTAAAGAGGTTCAGTTGGGTAGGATGGCAGGGCCATTTCAATCACCACCGATGGCGGAGTTACGGATTTCTCCCTTGGGCGTAGTGCCCAAGAAAGAACCAGGTAAGTTTCGCCTGATACACCACCTGTCGTATCCGAAGGGTTCATCGGTAAATGATGACATTGATGAGGCCTTATGTTCTGTCATACGCTTCCTTTGACCAAGCGGCCGAGTTGGTTCGGAAGGCAGGTCGTGGGGAATTGATGGCAAAGGTGGATGTGGAAGCGGCGTTCCGGTTATTGCCGATACATCCAGAGTGTCATCATTTGTTGCACTGCAGGTTCGATGGGGATTATTTTGTGGACCTTTGTTTGCCCCCGGGCCGCTCCATTTCATGTTCCTATTTTGAGAAGTTTAGTTCGATCTTGGAATGGTTAGTGAAGGAGGAGTCGTTATCTCAATGATTTCTTATGTGTGGGTGAAGCCGGGTCTGACCGATGTGGTCACACCTTGCGTTCATTGGAGCTGGTAGCCTATTTGTTTGGAGTTCCCTTGGCATCCGACAAGACTGTGGGTCTGACCACCTGTCTCAGTTTTCTTGGATTGGAAATTGATTCGGTGATATGCGAGTGTTGGTTGCCTAGGGATAAATTGGAATCACTTTGCGAATTAGTGGTGAAAATTCGTGGTGACATTGAGAGAACTACAGTCACTGATAGGCAGTCTCAATTTTGCATGCAGGGTTATTCCTATGGGCAGAGTTTTTAGCCGTTTCCTGGGGAAGGCTACTTGTGGCGTCCGGTGCCCGCGTCACTTTATCAGGGTGTTGCGGGCCATGAAGGACAATCTGTGGGTTTGGGAATCGTTCATACACGAATTCAATGGAAGGGTTTTATTTCGGGAGGCAACAGCGTCCTTGGAGGATATTGGTTTGTTAACTGTTGCTTCTGGAAGTGTCGGTTTTGGGGCATATTTGGAAGGCAGGTGGTGCGCTGCCCAGTTGCCGGAGACTTGGAAAGCTAGTCATCTTATTTGAAATTTGGCCTTTCTGGAATTGTTCCCATTGGTGGTGGCTCTAGCTTTGTGGGGCGAAGTGTTAAAGAACAAAAAGGTCATCTTGTTCACTGACAATATGGGGGTTGTTCATGCGGTCAACCACTTATCAATCTTCGGTCCAGGTGGTACGATCGTTATGGCAATTTGTATTGTTTTTTATGTTGTTTAATATTGTGTTCAGGGCGTGTCACATGCCTGGCCTGTTGAAGGTGGTGGCTGATTTCTTGTCTCGTTCACAGTTTAAATGATTGTGTTTGGGAAGTTTTGGTGTTTTGCCTTGTCATTTTTTACAATTTTAATTTCAGGTTGGGCGGCCTGGCTAGTGGGCCACTCATACATCTATTGGGCACAGAAGAGAGCCGCAATTGGGAGGCGAGGAAGACAGCTGGGTTTTCCTCAGTAATTACTTCAAAAAAAATTTCCTCAGGAGTTGGTGATGCTGGAATGGCTTGGCTTTTGGGGTGCTGGTTGGCAAGGCATTAGTGGGGAAATTTTCTGGAGGATGGCAAGTGGTACTAGTCTGGACATTTTGATAATCCATGCTGGGGGCAATGATTTGGGCATGGTTCCAAAGAAAGACTTGGTCGGGTGGATGAAGAGGGATGTAGTGGGGGTCGCTCAGGATCTTAAGGTGTCAAGTCCTGAGCTGTGGCAGGGAATGGCCAGGTTAAATTGGGGGGTAGTTGGACGAAGAATTGGGTATCCAGAGGTTTAGTGTAGTTTAGGCAGTGTTACACGTGGTTGGTAGGTTCGAGCCCTCGGTGGCGCCGAACCTGGGTGTTTAGCGTTGTCTGGGTATACCCCTACATTGGAACTGGTGGGTAGCGGTGTCTTGGCACACCCCTACAATTGATCTGGTGGGTAGCGGTGCCTCGGTACACCCCTACATTTAACCTGGTGGGTAGCGGTGTCTCAGTACACCCCTACAATGGATATCTGGGTAGTGGTGTCTTGGTACACCCTACAGTTACCATGGTGGAAATGTGGTCACAGTGGACTGCCAATTTCTATGGTATCATGGTGGAAATGTGGTCATTCTGGACGGCAAGTTTCTATGGTAATATGGTGGAAATGTGGTCATTCTGGAGGGCCAGTTTCTATGGTAATATGTTAATTAAATGTTAGTTATGGTTATTAATGTGGGGTCATTGCCAGGGGTATGTTATGTACATGGGGGGACGTTATTCTTAATAGGATTCGTAGGCAATGACCCCTATTTCTTATCCCTTATTAAATAATTAATAAAGCTGTGGACTAATATTTCCAACAGTATAACTTGTGTCCGTGTCTTAATGGGTTTTGGGTAAGGTTAGCACATATGCCGGTAAATCCAACTGTGGGCCTGTCATGACTCCTTTACTCATATTCTAATTTTAGAAAAGTCTGTTTTTCTAAAGTCTAAAAGGTTTGTTTTTGTGTGGTGTGACTCCGTCACTGTTCTTATATTAAACCACACTGACTGATGATCACTGGATCCTAAACTTTCACCTATAGTAATATCTGATACCAAATCTCCATTTGTTATCACTAAATCTAGTATGGCCACCTTACGAGTTGGCTCCTCAATGTTACATGTCACCTGTTACTTCACAGAGCCAGGCTTAAAAGCTGTAGACCATACGATTGTGTACTGTTTATTATTTTGCATCAATACTGATTTTAACTGTGCAACTCTATATAATTTCTTATTCTTCCATTTTGATTGAGGAGCTAACTTCAGACCACAGAAGAGTGAGGGTGTCACCCTGAATAGTCAACAAATGTATTCGGGTTTTTTTAGGCTTTGTGCAAGGTGAACATGTAAAAAAAGAACCTGAGTGTGTATTCGATTTTATCCTGAAGTTACTACACTATTAGTTTTTTTTGTTTTATTTTGTTTATCTCTCCATATATGATATATCTCTCCGTATATGAGATATATGATTTCACTAGGATTTAGTGAATTGTTTTATATTTGCCACTTTATGGATTTTCAATTTCTGCATTCACTATATACTGTACATGTGTGGTGCGATGTGTTCTGGAGAAACCCACACAATTGTTACAGTTCCTTTAGCATTGTTTATTTGTAGTGAAAACATTTGTTATAAAACTATATTTTCATTTACATGTGTATCTATCTCTGTACCTGTATATGTATATGTGCCTGTGTATCTGGATGTGTCAGTGTGTGTTTTTATATGTGTGTGCATGGATTTCAAATGCATATTTATATGTGTATACATCTAAATATTTACACTCCAACACTACACATAAAGCACTACATACGCATAACCCTACATTCAAATGCAAAAACTACATACAAGTAAACTACAGATTTGAAATGGTAACAGTACATAAAACACACAACACTACACTACATACAAATATACTCTTACATTCACACACACATACTCTATACAAAAACATGCTTACATTGAAACATACAAACACTGATCACTGCTATGTACAACCCTGCAAAGTTGGGCATCTTGCAAAGCATTGTGGGAGTTGTACAGACGTTGGCCTACCTTTTTGTCCATCCTTGACAGAGGGAGCCCCAAAAATATTCTTGCACCAGAGCCCTCTCTATTTTAGTTCCACCACTGTTGGGTAGTATATTTAAAAAACATCTTTCAAAATACAGAGTGTGGAGTGTTCCTTTAACAATAAAAGCTGTATTAAGAGAGAAGTGGAAGACGTGTCTTTCTAAATGTGTTAATATCTCTATATTAATCCACAATGTCACTCTGTAATAGGACGGTAACATAACTTCACCCTGAGTCCAGCTCTGCTTCCTTAATGTGGCGCATTATATACCTTGTCACGATATAAAACAAATCAAATATTTCTTTAGGGAAAAGGAGAATGAGCTCCATTTATTATGTCACACTCAGGCTTGCTAGAAGCTAATCTCCCACTGGAGATCTAACACAGAAAAGAGGATGAGAATTTCAAACATCTAGATATCCGGGATTGAAGATCTTTTGCTTCCTAAACATTTCACACAGAAGATTGATGTAATTTCGCTTTGCATACCAGTTCTGAGGAATTTAGATGGACGTCACTGAGGAATCATCTTGTCTTTTAAGCAACTTTGAAACAAATCCTTCTAGGCATTAATTGAAGAGACTGGTTCTTGTACGTACACATTGCTAAGTTTTGCTCCCCTTAGGCGGTAAAAAAGCCTAGATAAACCAAACCGAGCATTAGCATGGAAGCGGAGAATGGCCTCCGGTCAGAAATTCATGCCGGCAATAATGGAGCTCTGGATTTAAGCAACAACATTGATGAAATTTACGTTTTACAGATAGTAACAATTAATTTAAATGTTCATGCCATCTACTCCAAGGTTCCCTCTGTATTGGGCCAAACCTATTAAGAGTACAAAAATATATATATATATTTCACATTTTAGAGCAGCATGGTCTTAATATGGTACCTCAAAAATGGTTTTAAACTACATGTCCCATGAGGCTTAGCCATTATCTTCACTCAACTTAAATTAACTTACTGCTCAATCACTGGTATATACATCTACTCCACCCCATGCCTTGTTTACACCCACCCCCACCTCCTTAGCTTTAACCTACAGGGTTTGGGGATTTTACAGGATCTCCCCCATCTCATTGCCCTTTCTAGCCCCTTATTCCCTATCTACATGTCCTTTACTCTATTAAATATCCATTCCCATCCTTTATTCCATGATATGCTCCCTAAACCCACATATCTACTCTTTTGTCTTGCATATCTCTAACTTCTTGCTTCGTGTTTGCAACATTTGTAATAGTGTTTATTCTATTTTATATTCCCACATTAAAAAAGCAAAACTCTGTAAAGTTGGCTCTAGATAAATGCTAATAATACAATTATTAATAATTATATTAATAAAACCCATCCTTTATATAATGTCCCTCACAGACTTTCCTGCCCGCCTGCCCGCCAGCCCGCCTGCCCGCCTGCCCGCCTGCCCGCCAGCCCGCCTGCCCGCCTGCCCGTCTGGCCGCCTGTCTCCATTTGTACCTTGTTCATCAACACTTACTACAGAACAAACTTGAAGGCTCCCTGTTTAGGAAAGTTTAGATAGGCTTAGGCAGACCTGCATTACTGTTTGCATGAATTCTAAGCGGTAATATTAATCAGTAATGGGTAGAAATCAAAGTGTGATAAATAGAAAGCTCTTTGTGTCATGTGTCTGGGAAGTTTTCACGTCAAATAATTTACCTTTAAAAGTTTGACAAAGTATTTGTGGAATTGTAAATCATGAAGTAACAGTTCGAGTTTGGGAGTTGGTTTGCATCTTGTTTAACATGCAGTCTGATGATTCTGCTAAAATAATGCTTGATAAACTAATTAAAAGCTCATTCTGACCACTTAAAAGAATATTGCATTATAAAAATAGAAAAAAAAGGAAGAGATAGCTGGTAAAGCATATTCAAACCTTTTAAAATAAATTTATAAAATATAGCTATTGTCTTACCACAGGTCAGACAGAGTTAGACAGAAACGGAGGGGAGCGTCTTATTTCAGGGGCCTTAGGAAAATAGGGGACCGTGACTGACTGTGGGGCAGAGATATGTCATCTGTGATTGGCTGATCTGAGTACACACTCAGATTATGTCTAATATGGAAGCTGCTGTGTGGAAGATGGCATGGCCAAGAGGTGGCGTTACATTGCAAAATGTTTCTCTTTTTTAGAAAACCTAATGAGATTTCAATTGTGGACAAATAAATACAGCATGGATACGAGACCAAAATCTATGTAAACATAGAGAAAAATTAGGTCTGCACTTCCAGCTGTAGTGAGCACCAATGTGCTACCAAGCATTTATTTAAAGGACATAAAAGTCAGGCGAACGTTTTGGGCACAAGCCCATTTTCAATGCAAATGTCCTTAAACATGCAGTAACACTTACCAGCTTATATACCATGTGCAATAAATTAAGACCCCAGGTGCTGCCCCCAGAGATCAATTGCAGCTGTTCCTCATTATTTGGCTTCCCTCCACCATCTTGGAGCTCTCTTACAGTTTCTGGCAAGTGTAGGTGTGACATCATGATGTTGGACGTCACGTACGCACGCTGTGTATGACGTCATGTCGCATGGTTGCTAGGAAATGAGTATACAATACAGACATTCATTATATAGATCGCAAAAAAAAAACTGCATATAAACAGCATTTAAAGAGATATGCCTCAAATATGGAATATATCAAAAACAGGTAATAAGCATAAAATTACAACACAGGAAGCCACATAATCGAATTTGAGTGAAAAGATAAAGGTGAAAGTGAATATAATACTCAGGTGGCTTGATTGTGATACAGGACAAAAAAGACTACTATAATGAGATTATGCGACAACTCCTTGATCGCACTAATTACAAAATTCTTAAAAGTGACCCTACTACTCATATCTCTAAAATCATTCTGACAGTACTAGAAAAGGCACTGACAAATAATGTCATTACACAGTCCCAATTTTCCTTTCTTTCTCCCCAAGGTCCATAAGGATGCCTCCCATCCACCAGGACGCCCTATTGTTGCAGGCACAGATTCGATCTTTCAGCC